GAAAAATTTTTCATCTATATTTGACATTTAATTAATATTTATTTATTAACAAATCATATGCATAAAAAACATAATTAATTTTTATACACTCAATAACTATTACTCATTAACTACAAATTGGCTTACATTGAAATTTTGACTGTAAATTTATTAGATATATTTTCAGTAAGATCTTATATTAATTTAATAGTAATTTATTGGCACAATTCAAAAAATTATTATGGAAATTGATTTGATTAAATATATTATCATCTATGGCTGTAGGTATTAATTTAATTAATTATATTCACTATTCAAAAGTACTTAAATATTAATAAAATAATTAAAAAAATATAAAACTATGTTTAAATCATAATAACTTAATAAATAATTTAAAATATTAATAAAAGATTCAAATATGTAGCCAATTTAACTATAAAAAGGTACATCTCCCATTGAATATATCATATGCAGTAATAATAATACTAGTAAAAATAAAATTTGATGGTCGGGTGCAATTCAGAATTATAAATTCCACCTTAGAAGTACCTATGTACATTAAAAATATCCAATATTTAAAAATATTTATTCTTTTCTTATATACTATTTTATAAATGAAAAATAAGTTAATAAAAAAGCAATGTATAATAATTTAGATTATACCACTTGGTAATTATGAAAATATATAATATGTCAAAATATTCGAATAAATACTATGTAACTCATTATATAGGTTGAAAAAATGAATTAAAGAAATAAATATAAATAAAAATAGAAACATAAAAATAAAATATTTAACCATAAAAAATTTGTGTGTTGCATAAGGATTAAAGTCACTGAAAATTAAAGTTTGTTTATCAAAGTTTTTAACATTTAATGCACTTAATAATTCTAGACGAAGATAAATATTATGGGTTAAACGTTGGTCAATTATCAAGCAATGTGCAAATTATGAATTGTTAAAAAATTATAAGACTATAATAAACAACGATTTTATAAGTATATACAAATAATTTGTATGCAAATATCATATGATCTTATACATTTATAATATTTTATAAACTTATAAATAATAAGATTTATATATTAAATAGTCAAAAACTACAAAAAAATACAAAAATAGAAATTAACAATAATAATATATAAATAAATGTCATATTATTACTGAATAGAATATTGTGGAGAATATAATTTCATATTGTCTTAAATAATTTTATGATATTTAAATAATAAATATTTTTTGTATTGCGTCCCGTGCATCGCACGGGTATCAACACTAGTTTATTTAATATCCCTCTCTTAAATTTGGACATTTCGAAGTGCTCTAGAACCATCCACACTTGAAATCAATTACAAGAAAATAAATAAATAAAGGAAAGACAATTGGAATATTTGGTTTTTGGTATATACTTTGGGCAACATGGTAGGACTCCATTTACTTGTTAGTTGTAAAGCATTTGCTCCAACATTCATGCTTTACCTAACCTGTTATGTCCACTTCACATAATTTACAACTAAATTTCACATTTCACATTTTATTTTATTATCACATTTATCACCTTTTATCCCTTTTATGTATTAATTCAAAACATGCTGAATTTAAGTGGTAGATTCGCACGCTTTGAAATCCTACATGTCACAATATCATGTTTTGTATTTAAGTTCGGATAAAAAAATTAGAAACAAAATTGGCTTGCAAAGTGTCATAAATAATTTTTTCACCATACATTATTGTCTCCTTATTACAAAATTTGTTATATTTTTTACACAAATCTCTCTTTCATTACCAAATTTGTTATTACACAAATCTTTATTTCCTTATTTTTTTACTAAGGACTTATCCCATTCATTATATTTTTTATTTTTTCAAGTTGATAAATTTTAGCTATTTTTTAGTATGTGTCTTTGTTTGTGTAATGAATAATGATAAATTAAAATTATATATTATAATTATATGGATAATGTAATTAATGAAATCTTAACTATACACATCTCTTACCTTAATTATCATCGTTTATCTTATTTTTTTCAAGTTGATTAATTTTAGCCCATTTATCATTTTTTTTTATTTTTCCAAGTTGATAAATTGTAAATAGAATTAAATAAATTTTTGAGATTTTGAAATGAAATACCAATGTATAGTAATTTTTGTTTTATGAAACTTCCATTTATTTATTTTGTATATACTCACAATAACTAAACTCTTTTATTTTTTTTATTCAAATTATTTTTTCATGCACCCGTGTAGTACACGTATCGTACTAGTTTTATTTTATAGATGAAAGTCTTTAACTTTTCTAGACAGGGTTAGAATTTATTTCCAAAATAAGATCATTTTTAATAAAAAATTTCTAATTTCTTCTAGCTATATATAATACTAGTACAATACTCGTGTAGTACACAGGTACTTGTTAAGAAAATTATATTTCAAATTAAATAATAATAACAACAAAAATTGTTTTAGATTTTAAATATTTTTTAAAAATATATAATTGTTTATATTTAAATTGACACCGTCATTTATACGACTTACCATGTTATATTATATGTTTTTCAAGAGCAAAGGCTGAGGAGTATAATACTTATGGGAGATTTTTTTCAAGAAGGTATGACAAATTTTTCTCTATGTCAATGTATTATTCCCATCCTATGATATGATCTCTCTTAGAGGCGTGGTTGAACAAGATGGAAGAGTTCTGAAATTGTGGTCTGGTTCCATTATGAAGAGCACTGACCACCAGTGGCGAAACTAGAATCCGAATAAAGGGATGGCCGATTTTTACCTTCAAACTATGCTCGAAATTAATTAAAAAGGATAGTCCAGATTTATACCTCCTCTCGAATAGACGAGAAACTAAAAGAATCGAGAAAAATGAAGCCTCGAACGATCGAACTCGTCCTCGACAATTCGCTTATTTTTAATATTTATACATCAACTTCAGGCTCCTCTAAACAAATGCTCGGAGCTCCGAAACACTCAATAAATGGCTCGAATGGCATCGTGCCAATAAGGTCTGCACGTCCCAACTCGTTTTTCAGCAAACCGAAATCTCACGCGACCTTGCGGGGCAGACGTAAACGGATTTTTATTTATTTTTCTAATTTGTGCACTCCAACTCGAGCTTCTCAAAATAAATGCTCGGGACCTCGAATTGCAAAATAAACACCACGAACGGCTTCTACTCTTCTGGTACTTGAAAGCACTCCCATTAAATTTCGGTGCGCCTAACGAGGGCCGACGGGTTCTCGAAGTCGGGACATGAAAATGATGCTTAAATGACCTTGCTGCCATTTTTCTCGCCGGAAAAAGCCCATCGGAGTGAACTGTCGGGTTCATATACTCTCGAGAGGAAGCTGTGAACATCGGCCGACGGTTGTCACTGCTGCTATAAGTGAACTCACGGCAAAAGGCTGTCGCTACCACCATTCCCGTCCTCCGTTTGCTGCTCGCAAATTCTCTGGCAGTTTCCGAACAAAACTGCAGTGTCACGCTTTGAAAAATTGAACAGAGCCAGTGGAAGGGCGCCGCCTCCGGCCGGCGACCTCGGCCCCTATACCTATTAAAAAAAAAAAATAAAATTATGGGAGGGCCGAGGCCACTCCTTGCCTCTATGTGGTTTCGCCCCTGCTGACCACAGGGAAGCTGAACTGAGGAGTTTGAGATGGCTATTGGAAATGGCAGTGGAAGAAAATTAAGAGTACGTGGTGTGTGTAGTATATTTGTGTAGTTTGTGAATATCAAAAAGACGGCTTAAGGAGAATGAAGAAAACGAAACAAAATCAAAGTCGAGACACGTAATAATTACGTTCTCCTTAAGACGAAATTGCCCCGTAAAATACCCACGGTTAACAACAAACGCCTCCAGAGTTTCGACTTGTATATAACGGTACTTCAAATATACAAGACTTCGGCGAACACTACTATTGTTTGGAACTCTCAACATATAAAGGAACACAAAGAACACAAGATGCTTTATAAACTTTGAAAATATAATTTAAGAGCTCTTCATTTTTCATGTAATTAATGATTTCAAGCATGTGGGTATTTATAGATGTAGGATAACACCTCCAAGAGATTTAAGTGTCAATAGACACCTTTGGGACGTACCCGAATGAGAATGGACGTATCTAGAGGACAAAAGACACCTTCTAGTCACCAAAGGTTGTGACCTTTCGGTTTCTGCAGCCTGCTGCGTGGCCGCGCGCCGCGGGTTTGTACGAGCTCATACAGATTCGGAATCAAGTTCCGTTTTTTCCTACTCGTCTCCAACGAGCCATTCTACAATTCTAGCATACATAATGCATGATTATGACTCGTTTAATATGTCCAAACATTTATCAAAACATAATGTTCTACGAATCCAATAATTTGAGTTACTTAAACTCATTGCTTCAACTTTACATTTCCCACATATACAACTTAGAATTAATTTCTCATTCACCTTAAAATAGTTTTAAGAATTTACTATGTCTTCCACTTACAAAAAATGGAAGCGTAAATTGGTACAAAACCAATTTTTTCTTACAGTATGACGTGTGAATAGAAGAGATGTGGTGCATGAACTTATTAATAGATCACAAGTTACAAATCACAATTTGAAGTTGGGAAAAAACCATTGCGGAAGACATTCAGTGGAATGTGTTGCTATTTTCTTCTTGTTTTTTTGTATGTAGTGGTGATGTTGGTTAAGGACTTTAAGCTTAGTCTAGTTGAGGAGTTAAGTTTTCTCAATGCTCACGCTTAGCCGGTCAGCTAGTTTTAGTTTATTGTGGTTGTATTGTACTTAGTTGATTATGCTTGTGAATTTGAGTTTGAGTTTAATTTTAAGTTTTACCGTTCA